TCGCTCTTTCTGCTTCATCTTCTTCAGAATGGTCAGAAGCCCCATGATCCCGTAGCCCCCTCCCGGCCGCCGTTTCTTCCAGTCCCGGGACCCCGCTCCAGGCTCCTATTGGCCAGTCTGGTGCTTTGTTCCGCCCTCGACACCACGTGATCACCGGGGTGCGTGGCGTCGCCCTCTAGCGAAGCGGCGGCGAATTTGCTGCCTGCTGCTTTAACCCTTCGCTTCTGAGGTTCGGAGGGGACCTGGGTAAAAATCAGCAAACCCTCCGACTCCAAGGCCTCCATCGGGGACGCGGGGCTGACATCTCGGGCTGTATCTCGTTTAGGTAGGGAGAACTCGCGAAGGGATTCTGAGCCAGGAGTCCGAACCTAGTTCCACAGGCGGCTGACAATCATCCGGGGGCCGTAAAATGGCCCGGTTCCCGCTCATTTTGTGACTTGCATTATCCACATCTGCCAGTGAGAACGGGTTGATTCTGGTCCGGGACTCTGTCGGAAATGGCTCTGTGCGTTTAGTCGAGGGTGACGATGCCCCCTAGGGGCCGTTTCGAAATGTACAGGCAGTAAGGGCTCCTTTGGGTTGTTTCAGTGACCACACAATAGTCATAGTCATTTAAAGCTCCAAGCTTCCCGCAATGCAGCGATCAGACCTGCACAAAGGATCGCCGGGAAGCTGTCAGGTTGAGAAGCTCGGGCGACCCGGGTAGTGGTGGCCTTTAATCCCAGCACTAGGGAGGAAGAGACAGGCCGATCTCTGAGTTCAAGGCCAATTTGGAGTACCTAAGAAGTTCCAGGTCAGCCAGTGCTAAGTAGAGAGAACCTGTCTTAACAAACATTGGAGCCCACTGCTGGCATGTAGTAGGTGTGTTCAGTTAGGTCGTTCAGTAAATGACTTTGCCCAAGACTTAGTTCTTTTTTGTTTTGTTTTGTTTCTTGAGACAGGGTTTTTCTGTGTATCCTTGGCTGTCCTGGAACCCGCTCTGTAAACCAGGCTGGCTTCGATCTCACAGAGATCCTCCTGCCTCTACCTCCTGAGTGTTGGGATTAAAGGCATGCGCCACCAACGCGTGGTTGGTGACACACTTTTAATCCCGGCACCTGGAAGTCAGAGGCAAGTAGATGAGGCCAGCTTAGTCTACATATCGACTAAGCCAGGGCGACATATAGTGAAACTGTTATGCCCAGATCGTGGAAACCCAAAAATCCATCACCGAGGAAGCGACACACCGATGTAAAAACACAGGTTTCTTTTTTACGATTTGCAACTCGGACCCTGCCCGTTTGGGAACAGGCTGAGTGCCGCTTTTTTTGCTGAGGGTGTTTTTTTAAAGGGAAGGTTCAAATGAATGAATGTCTTGAGATTGCAAAATTTTATGGTTACATAGGATGAAACAATAACTATGTTTAAGCAGGATGCAATTAAGCAGGATGCTGTAGAGGAAGTAAGTTTAAATTTGTTAATTATCTCCTAGGCAGGGACTTTTACAACTACAAATTGACAACTATCGGATCTTCTTTAGGACAGAGAAATGTTGACACAGTTGGAGGGTGTTATCTGTTCTCAGGCCTCTGTACCCAGTTCTTTGTTTAGCCTTATCTGTCGGGCTGCCTTTTTGGGAACTCAGAGAGAGGTAAGAGGTTTTCTATTTGGGCTTTGGAGTCCAAGTTTTAGGCTTTTATTAATTTTTTCTATTTTACTTCTTTCAAGACTGTCTCAAAAAACAATTATTATCGTGTGTAAATTGTGGGGGGGGGGAGGTTAGAAGACAACTTTGTGGAGCAGATTCTCTCCTCACTTCTTGTGGATTCCAGGCAGCGAATTCAGATCGTCAGACTTTTCCAGCAAGTGCTTTTACTGGCTGAGCCTACTCACTGGCCCAGAGTTAGCTTCTCCTCCTTCCCTCCCCTTATCTTTTTTGATTTGTTGAAATGGCCTTAAGGTCTGAAGATAACAGACCCCCCCCCCTTTTTTTAAATGGTGAATTCTTGATCCTCCTTCCACTTCTCAAGTGCTGGGATTATAGGCTAGTCCACTATGCCCCTGCATTGTTTTTGTGAGGTTTGCTTTGTTTTTGTTTTAATTTACTGTTTCATTTATATGTATATAAATGTTTGTTTGCAGGAGGCAGAGGCAGGCAGATCTCTGTGAGTTTGAGGCCAGCCTGGTCTACAGAGTGAGTTCCAGGACAGGCTCCAAAACAATAGAGAAACCCTGTCTCAGAGAAAGCCAAAAAAAAATGTTTGCTTGCATGCTTTGCTGGGCACCATGTTAGTTCCTGGTGCCCCTGGAGGCCAGAAGAGGGCATTGGAACCCCTGGAACTGGATTCTGGTCAGTTGTGATCCACCATGCAGGAGCTGGGAGTAGAGCAGTCAGTGTTCTTAACTGACACACCATCTCTCCATCCCCCTTGCTGTTTTGTGAGACAGGGTATCCTGTATCTATGCTGGCCTTGAGCTCCTGGATCCTCTTGCCTTCACCTCCCAAATGTGGGATTGCAAGTGTGTACCACTACCACTCAAGGGTTATGGAGTGCTGGGGGTCAAACGCAGGGCCTCATGCGTGCTAGGCAAGCACTCTTAACAACAGAGCTAACTACACTTCCAGACGTAGAGTAGCTTTTAAGGACTGGGAAGGGGTGTCTGGGAGGAACTGGAGGGGGTGGGTATAGGGGGGGTGATAGGAATTCAATACAGTGTGTGTGTGTGTGTGTGTGTGTGTGTGTGTGTGTGTGTGAGAACTTACCAAATAATTAAAAAAAAACAAAAAAACAAAAAACAAGGTTGGGGGGCTAGCCCAGGGTGTCTTTTCTTTGCCTCAACAAAAGGAGAAAAGGTTATTCTCAGAACCCTTGAGAAACATCCTAGAGAACCAGGAAGATGCTATATAGAGCTGGGGTTCTAGTTAATTGTGACCATATATGTACTCGAGAAGTCGTATGTATGTGTGTATGTGTGTGTGGGGGTGTCCTCCGCAAGAAAAATGAAATTAATATGTTCAAATTGTTATAGCCAAGCAGAATGTGGGCAATGTATGCCCCAGTCCCAGCACTCTGGAGGTGGATGCAGAGAGTGAGGAGCTGCCATTGGAGACTTAGTCTCAAAATGCAAAACAAAACAGTCTAACCAAATCCCCATAGTTGTGAAAGCTGCCTTTGAAGAGAGGGGGACTCCTTAAGTGGACGAAACCTAAGGCTGAGCTCCTGAGGCTCTGTGCAGGGCTCAGTTGACCCAAAGGAAACAACTTAGCTTGACTTGCTGGATGTGCTAGCTGGTACTTGCTGAGGCTGCAGTGTCTTGAATCAGCAGTTTAAGGGCCTGCTGAGGCTAGCGGGGGTCTTGAACCAGGACTTTATGACTGGCAGGATGACAGAGTAAGACTTTCTCCCCAAACTATAAAAAAAAGCATGTGTCACTTTTCAAAGAGCCGTTCTACCCCCAGCACCTTTGAAGTCAGAGTGACCATAACCAAAAAAATTTTTTTTCTCCCCAGAGACAGGGTTTCTCTGTATGGCTTTGGAAGTTGTCTTGGAACTCACTTTGTAGACCAGGCTGGCCTCGAACTCACAGAGGTCTGCCTGCCTCTGCCTCTCTTTCTATTTGATTCATCTTAGAACTATAATGCAATCTACATTCAAACATCTGATCTCTTCTGAAGCTAAGCAGGGTCAGACCTGGTTTAGTACTTGGGTGGGAGAACTGTAATGCTCATACTAGTTTATTTAAAGCTCCAGGAGCTGGGGACAGGCTTGCACATTGGTGGAGTTCCTAGATCAAGGCCTTCTATTCAGCCACCAGCACCACCAAAGTCAGAGAAGTGATGAGAAAGGAAGGAAAACTGGATTTTCTCTCTTGTGAGGCAGAAGATGCTAGTCTTAGGTTTCATGTCACATGCCCATAACAGAGCACCAACCAGCACTTGGTGGCAGCATACTCAAATACCGGTTTTGTCCTCTTAAGTAGCAAAGAACTGGAAGGTAGAATGTGCAACCTAAATATTGAAATAGTAACTGTGTACAGACTAGTTTGCCCTGGCCTGATTGAAGACTCCCACTCATGTCCGAGAGAGTCTCCAATATCCAAGGGCAAACTCTGTCCACAGTGTTTGTTCCTGACTGCTCAGTGGGTGTGTGCACCACGCAGGACTCTGTCAAGTGCTTCAGAAGACAAGTCAGACCACTCAGACATCTTCATTCCAGGTCTCAGCCCAGCTGCCTCATGTGGGCAGCCCAAGCAGCATCTCATCCCACTTGCAGGTGACGAAAGGAGTGATTACTCCCTCACAGCCAGTCACTGGCAGTCCTATGCCATCCTTAGGACTCACCAAGACTTAGGCATCAGGAAGTACTTGGAACTCAGTGTTGCCAGCTACCACTTTTGCTCACTTCACCTGTTGTCCATGGCTCCCTTTAGGACAAGTCTGTAGAGGGGCAATATCCCTCATACCTGTAATCTAGCACTCAGGAGGCTGAGGCAGGAGGATTGACACCAGTTTTGAGGTATATAGTGAGTACCAGCATAGCTTGAGCTATAGAGTGAGACCCTGTCTAAAAACAAGGCATGCTGGGGATAGTGGCCCACACCTTTAGGCTCAGCGCTTGAGAGGCAGAGTCAGGAAGATCTCTATGAGTTCGAGATCAATCCAATCTATATAGGGAGTTCCAGGACAGCTAAGGCTACACAGAGAAACCCTGTCTTGAAAACCAAACCATTTAATCCCAGCACTGGGGAGGCAGAGGCAGAGGCAGAGGCAGAGGCAGGCGGATCTCTGTGTTTGAGACCAGCCTGGTCTACAAGAGCTAGTTCCAGGACAGGCTCCAAAGCCACAGAGAAACCCTGTCTCAAAAAATAAAGAAAAGAAAAAAAGGAAAAAGAAAACTAAACCACCAACAAAAAATACATAAATAAAAAGAAAGTAAGGAAGAAAAAGGATAACCATAAAACCAAAACCCAACCACAGAGAAAGCTATTAAAGAAAGAAACAAATGACAACAGCACCTCCCCCAAAACAAAGCTGTCACAATGTCTCAGTTGCTTATGATTCCTAAGGGCCAGGCGATGGCTGAGAGTGGGAATGGCTAAGTATTTCCAGGTGTCCTTCCTGCTGGGCCTCACTTGGCCACCTGAGAGCTGGAGGCAGCTCTTGTTTCCACCCACATAGCCTCTGTTCACCTGGAGAGCTGGGCAGCTCCTGGCTGGCTCCTCTGCTCCTGTTGTTTCTTTGAGCCAGGATCTTGCATGTAGCGTAGGCTGTCCTTGACCTTATGGCCGTCCATCCTCTTGCCACAGTCCCTAAGTACCAGGATTGCAGGTGTGCTCACCATTTCTTGCTCCACAGGGTCCTCTTCACCTTGGCAATTTGTGTCTGCAGAACTTAGGCATGCTAAATGAGCTTGAATGTTTAGCCCCTTGGTTCAGTACTGGTCTACTGCTCTCCTGTACATGAATCCCACTGGGCCTGGAGTACACTACCCTCCTTTGCCTGCCACCCAGTGCTTCTCCCTTCTTTC